GACGAGTCAGACCCGACTCATAGCGACCCTTCCTTGGGTTTCTGAGGTGGTATCACTACAGAAGTAGATTGCCCAACCTTCCTTCCGAGGAGTGGCTAGTGGGTTTGAATCACCAGCCTTCTGGTTAGCAGTCAAGTGCCTTAGGCACTATGCTACAAGAACTCCCCACAATCCATTAGTGATTTTAAATGAGAAAACTATAATTCATCCAGAATGCCTCCGTACAGTCCCTCATCCAAACAGTATCCAAGTCCTGGAACGTTAGCTATTTCCTCCTCAACATCCTTGCTGTCTTGGTCTCAGCTATTGTCTTTGTCCCTCTATGCCTGCTATAGCCCCAAAATAATTTTTGTATTTCCATGTGTGCCTCTTTACAAACCAATGTCTACCCATAAAACAGATAAATCCTAATTCTGGATAAGTTATAGCTCAAGACTCCCATGTGGGGAATTGATATTGTGTCTGGGCCCTCAGAGTCTACTGATATACATATACTGAAATACAAAAAGAAATAAGCTCATAGAAGTAAAATGAATGGAAGGAAAAAAGTGAAAAAAAAAAGTTTCAACAAACTTACGAAATTGGGAAAAGTGATGGGATTTGGTTGTCAAATGAAACAGAAAAGAAGTCTCAAATTTAAAATGCAGTAAGGGAATGGTTATGGAGAGGCCTTCAAGAAAGAGAAGATTTTGAATCCCATGGCAGAGGTTCAGGGATTGTGGTCTTAATTAGCTCAATAAAGCTGAGTCAATCCTAAAACTCTTCTTTCAAATTTTAAAAGTTAACTTTTAGTTTGGAGCCTCGGGTACAATTAAAGAAGCTTTAGCCTGGCAAAGAATAGCGTATTTCCATTTTAATGACCAATTGTGACCCAAATATTGTAAAGATTCCTGAGAAAAGTGTACTTTTTTTCTAGAACCTACATATCACTTTTCTAATAATCTTGTTAAGGAGTCTTGCTTAGGATTACTTAGATTTATGACACACAATATATTGGAGATTAGAGGGAAAAAAACAGTATTAGAGAGAAGAAATGGGCACAGTCAAAGCAGTCAAAGGGAATCATTAATGTGGTTTTCCTTAGCTTTTTCCGAAGAGTCTCTATTGAAGTTGAATTAAAGTCATTTGGACATCTTAGTATCTTCTCAATACTAATCAAAGACCATCATAAATTAGCTATTATATTTCCTTTTTGCTCTAAGGTTCTATGATGATTTAAAACTCCATAAAAACAGAAAGTTCCTCCATGTTGCCTTATATTTAGAACCTATTCTTGGTTTATGTCATTTTGTTAGATAATGTATATATGTGTTAGATAATATACATGTATACATATAAGAAACAGGGTCCTGACAGGTGACAATTTGATCCTTTGAATGACAGACCTCCTGCAAGAAAAAAAAAAAAAAAGAGAGAGAGAGAGAGATTCTTTGGATCTAATGATCCAGTAAACCTAATTGTGGAGATAGACATAGCCCAAACTATGACAGTTCTGCAAAATCCTTCAGACAAGTCACAACAAGACTAAT